GTATAAAGGGTAATAAGGCACCGAAGTAAAGCGGTTTTCGTCTGGGAAAGAGGGGGAAAATTAAGACACAATTAAGCTATAATTTTTATATCGGGTGGCCGAAAAGGGGGAGGGAGAATAAGAATTTAACACTAAGAATAAACTTAGTTAAAGGTTTTTTAGGTGTTAACGACGCAATTCGGCAGTGGTATTGTTTACTTCTATCATCATTTCCAGCAAAATATGCAATTTATCGATGGTAGTAGAAATTTTTTTTTAATTATGAAGAACAGAAATAATGATATTCATTTCTTTTCTGGCATTCAATTCTTTCTTTTTCTTTCTGATTGGAACTCACTTAACAGCAGATTAAGTACACTATTTGGGTTATTAATACTTGCTTTAGGAGCTTTTGGTTTCTTTGAATGTAATAAATTTACAGTATTTAGTAAGTTAACTGATTTCAGCAGTGGATGACGGGTTATCCTGCCTCTTACTGGAATCTCTGGGTTTAGGGGGACTAGAAGGTTTTCCTGACAAGGCCTGAGATTAGGTTAAGTTCAGGTTGTACCATGCTTCTCTTGTTGATTCTGCTCGTAGGAAATTTCGAACACCCAAGATAAGATACAAGATGTCATTTTTCTCCGCAGATATGGATTTTTCCTCTTTTAGAGCAGTCTTTGGTTTTGTGTTTTAGCGAACACTTTATACATCTAAGGCTCAGGCGATACATCAGTTTTCAGATTAATGGTGCAGTGACTGAGCGCTGCCTGTGGTAACCACTGACTTGACTTACGGTGTTAATAGCCATCCTAGCAGAAGGGATTATTTCTTACATGCATAAATATCACATGAGCATACAAGGTCTGTGTATAAGCATAGATATGTTAATTACAAACATTGTCTTGCATAAATTACATGAGATATTTAGATATAATCATGATAGTTATGTACACGCTTAAACATTATCTGATTTCATATTTACAATATTGTTATTGAGATAATCACGGTAAACTTGTAATTCAGTTACACATTGACTGGAGTTTCTATGTTATTTTTAACTGCTTTACAACATTATTTTTAACAAGTAAGTGCAAAATGTATAGTAATAAGCTTAGATTACAATAGTTCTCTTACAGACTAGAAGAGAAACACGCTAATGTAACAATCAAAATCGTAAAAAACGACCTTATATTTAGCGTAGGTATAATGAAACACTCAATCGATTTCGAGGGCAGCTAAAGGTCCCTCCTTATCAGGAGAAAGAAATACATAGAAAGAAGAAAATAGGAATCACAGAAACACGTGGTGCTTATCAGCACTGCACGTGGATATAACTAGATTTTCAATCAGAGTTGCACTGGCCGCCTACTTTTACTGAGCCAGGCTGTCTGATCAAGCATAAAGAAATATTAGCGAAGTTAAAATAGGGAGCGAGGGGCAAATGCACATTACGCTCAAAATCTGAACTTCAAAAATAATGGAAAGCAACCACTGAACGGATTTTTATACCCTCTGGTAGTACCAAGTTCGAGGAGGTAACGCCATCTATCGGCAAAATAATTGAATTAAGACAGTAGAATTTTAAAGGCATTAGGAAGGACTGGATTGGACTTCAAATCATTAACTAAACTTTCTAAATCTTTGTGAATGTGAAAAGCCTCAAGAAATCCAATTCGCCTATGGAAGAAGCCTTTTGGATGATTTTTGCAGACCCAAAATCAAAATTATGGTTAAAAGTCCAGCTATGATACGCTATTGAAGACTTGTTAATTTTTCCCCTTTTTTTGACATAAGATTCATGTTCCTTGATACGAAACTTCAACGCTCTTTTTGTTTGGCCAATATATCTTAAACCACACTGACATGATATACTATAAATTCCCCAAGAATTCAAGACAGAAACGCAATCTTTTAGAATCGAAGGGTGAATTTTTTATTAATAGGGGGGGAGAAACCGACTTGAAAATTGAATTTCTGGAGAATCCGTGCAATTTTATAGCTAACAGAAGGATAAAATGGAAGCACGACAAGGTCATTGATATTATTTCTAACAGTGGAATGTTTTCTTTGATGGGAATCTAATTTTTTTTTTTTTTTTTTTTTTTTTTTTTTTGACGGCTTTATCAATAATCACGGGAGAAAATCCACGGTCAATCGCAACTGCTCTCAAATAATAAAGTTGAAGGATTGGCTATGGGTAATCCTCTCAGTCCGGTACTTGCTGACATTTATATGCACTATTTTGAGATGAAATTATTTGATAAATTATCTTTTCGTCTTTGGATTCGGTATGTTAACGACACTTTCGCACTTTTTGACGGTTATAAAGAGGATTTATCCGAGATTCTATCTATTATGAATTCAATTGATCCAGCCATCCAATTCACTCTTGAAATTGAATCCAACAATTCCCTCCCCTTCCTCGATATTCTTATAATCCGCAATGAAACCGATTTTAGCACCACTGTGTACCGTAAACCCTTTGCAGTTTGTTTTACCACCCCATGCCAAGTCATGCCACCCTGTTAAGCAAAAATGGCTTCTTTTTACTATTATGTTTTCCGCGCGCTAAAAGTTTGTTCCTCTGAATCTTTGCTTACCAATGAACTTAATTATTTGAGAGCAGTTGCGATTGACCGTGGATTTTCTCCCGTGATTATTGATAAAGCCGTCAAAAAAAAAAAAAAAAAAAAAAAAAAAAAAAAAAAAAAAAAATTAGATTCCCATCAAAGAAAACATTCCACTGTTAGAAATAATATCAATGACCTTGTCGTGCTTCCATTTTATCCTTCTGTTAGCTATAAAATTGCACGGATTCTCCAGAAATTCAATTTTCAAGTCGGTTTCTACCCTATTAATAAAATTCATCCTTCGATTCTAAAAGATTGCGTTTCTGTCTTGAATTCTTGGGGAATTTATAGTATATCATGTCAGTGTGGTTTAAGATATATTGGCCAAACAAAAAGAGCGTTGAAGTTTCGTATCAAGGAACATGAATCTTATGTCAAAAAAAGGGGAAATTAACAAGTCTTCAATAGCGTATCATAGCTGGACTTTTAACCATAATTTTGATTTTGGGTCTGCAAAAATCATCCAAAAGGCTTCTTCCATAGGCGAATTGGATTTTCTTGAGGCTTTTCACATTCACAAAGATTTAGAAAGTTTAGTTAATGATTTGAAGTCCAATCCAGTCCTTCCTAATGCCTTTAAAATTCTACTGTCTTAATTCAATTATTTTTGCCGATAGATGGCGTTACCTCCTCGAACTTGGTACTACCAGAGGGTATAAAAATCCGTTCAGTGGTTGCTTTCCATTATTTGAAGTTCAGATTTTGAGCGTAATGTGCATTTGCCCCTCGCTCCCTATTTTAACTTCGCTAATATTTCTTTATGCTTGATCAGACAGCCTGGCTCAGTAAAAGTAGGCGGCCAGTGCAACTCTGATTGAAAATCTAGTTATATCCACGTGCAGTGCTGATAAGCACCACGTGTTTCTGTGATTCCTATTTTCTTCTTTCTATGTATTTCTTTCTCCTGATGAGGAGGGACCTTTAGCTGCCCTCGAAATCGATTGAGTGTTTCATTATACCTACGCTAAATATAAGGTTGTTTTTTACGATTTTGAGTTCTCTTACAGTCTAGTTACTATTCTACTGGACGAGCTATTTTTCTAATGTTGATTTTCAAGTGTTGTAATTCTATCCGGCTTGATTTGGGTAGGGAGTTATTAACTCAGTTTTCTGGTACCTTAGCTGATTTGCTTGGAATAGTTGCAACTGCTATTATAGTTGTAGTACGTATCAAGAGAATATCTTTGTTACTGTTGTTAAAGATAACTTCACTAATCTGCTGCTCCGTCATCTGCGAGTTGTCAGTTCAATGCACTCCACTTTTCTAAGACCTCTCTCCGCCACTTTAGTTTGCTATTAAAATTATATTGCGAAGATCCAACACACAGGGCATAAAAAATTCTTAATTACCTAGCTGAGTATAGTTTGATCACCTCCTCTATCTTACTTTTAGCCTGCTTGTTGCCGCCTGTATTCTCCGACCATTGCGACCAGTATTCACAGCTTGGTGTTTTTAAATGCAATTTATCGGTGTGTGGGCAGTTGAAGAGGTAGTGATCTGCATCACCTACCCCACAACATTCGCATTTAAGTCTCGTTTGTCAAATCTCTTAAGATAATATGGGAAGGGACCATGGCCAGTGTAGAAATGAGTTTGTGAGCCGTTGTGTCTTTCAATTGAGCATGAAACTTTCGTAAAAAACTCGTTTACCCGAGCTTTTTCTTTCCCATCTTTTCTGCCGTTCTTGTACAATGCTATTGAGTTTTATTTTTCTTTAAATAAGACTGTGGGATACGCACGGGGTTTTACAGTCTACTGGAGTCATTGGCTGCAGATTTCGCAAGCCATTCCTCCGCTTCGTTGTCAGTTTCAGTTGTGAGACTAAAATACTTGATTTTTTAGACAAATATTTCAACTTCGATGGAGAAGTGAAAGATCTTTCAAGTCGTAAGATTTTCTCTACTTTGTCCGATAGTAGGATCTGGAGAAGGAATGACGGTATTGCTGTGGGAATCCGTCTTTTTGCGAGCAGATCACTTTGTATACGGAAAATTCTCTATTTTGAATAGCTAGCTTAATTTCATCACATCTGGTGTGGATAGCGAGGCCTCTGAAGAGCACTTTAATTGGGCGTTTGGAATTTAGGGTTAATGATAAATGCTCAGTTTGATGAGTGCGTTATGTTTCAGGTAAAAACATTGTAGCGTCCAAACACTTTCACTTCCCTATCGTGTCCCTTTTCAAGAAAAAAGATGTTGCTACCTAATGTTATCTCTATGTATTAAGTTTAAAGAAATAATGTACCAAATATAAATAGTATACAGAATATTAAAAAAAGCATGGTAACACGTAACACTCTGTGAACACAAACACTGATCAGTCGAGTGCGCCTTCACCGTACACATTTTATTTTCTTTGATTTTCTTAATATATAAAATAAATCTTACCATTACTGCTTCTGCCAGTATGAACAGATCAGCGGGAAATTGCTTGAAGCTGGGTTCTGTGTACAACAAATGAACAATCTTTTGACGAAACGGAGCTAATGGAGTGATATGTTGTAACAAAACAGCCTTGCCAAAGAAGGTTTCCATATGCATATGCACCGTTGCTGGACCTATCTGAAATAAACAGGCAATGTTAAAAATGTCAATATTTTTAATGTTTCTGCACAGTGAATAAATTAGGCTAAAATGAATCAATTTCACTTTAATGTTAGGACAAGAAAATATTCAATTTCTCTTTCCTGTCTTAATCTTTCAAAAATATATTTTATGCTGTACCGGTTTCAGTATCTCCAGTGTACTCATAAAAATTGCAGTCCTTATCAGACAGCAATACTATCGGTATTTCTTAAAGGTGATAATTAAATTAATAAATAAATAATAATATTAAGCAATTTTTAAAATAAAACTTTTGAGGGCAAATGAACTTTTGAGCATTATGAACCGACAGGCGCTAGGGAAATGCTCACTTGTATGTACGTAATGAATTTTTTAAGGTTAATATGTCGCCAGAAACTGTTTTTGTTTACAATTTTAAAACAGTTAAATTACTAGATGGGAAGTAAATATGTCAGATTGAATTATAAAAGTAGGCATATTCAATCCTAGATTGATTTTAGTTTTATAGGGAAGCTCAAATGAATTTCGAAAGATTCTGCATGCTGTCTCTCTAGAAAGGCATAAGATTTATTTTCCCTATAAAATTACTGTGAGTCTAAGGTGGAAGGCTATAAGTTAAAATAATTACTTTTAAAGGGATATTCTGTTTACTAAGACACTGAAGACCATGTAGAGCATAAGATTATGTAATTATGAAGATTCTAACTTATTTCATAAACTGAAAACTCAGCCTTTCTGCTGAATTTAGGATTTGTTAGAATTAATTAACTATTAAAAGTATTGTTCTGCGCTCGATTACCTAACTTAGTGTAAGCATTATTTTACACATTTCTAAACTGAGGGGGAAGGCTTCTTTTAAACCGGCATTTCCTTCAACTAATGGACCCACCAGCGGCCAAGCGGTAAAGTTGCTGAACACTGGTAGTTCGGTCCGAGGTTCGAATCCCGCGGATGGGTCGGCTGCATGGGTATTTTCATGGTTTTCCCCATGTGCAACGTGTATACGAGCCAGTTTCCCTTAGAAATCCCTACACGAAGGCATCCCCTTAGGCAGATAGCCCTAGTGTGTTTTGCCATAATTAAATACACCACCACCTCCAAGTAAAATTTTGAATAATACCTGTAATTAGTAAAGTAGTTTTAAGTAATAAGCATAATAAGAATATCTAATCTACATCTACATCTGTATAATAACTATTGTCTTAATTTGATTGGAATTTTCGAATAAAATAAAACTTAAATTGGTAGGGTCTTCCTTAGTTCAATCAACCTATTATTCAAATTTTTGTCACCTTTCAACTTTCCCTCGCCAAGATGTAAATTTAAAGTTAAGTGAGTATTTAACTGGGGGAATTTTGGAGTTTTATTTACATCACACGTTTTGTTTTTGACCTTGCTGTTACGCCTTTTGGCTATTTGAATAATTATCCCGCTTGTTAGGTAGTCGAGTCAACTTAGTTTAGCCATAACTTAAAGTGCTAGCCCAAAACTACTCTTTCATACTTGGATTTATTGTGTTACAAATTCTTAGTTTCCACCGAAATTTGTCGGTGTTATTGTAAAGCACAAGTACGTGCCTTTCTGTTTCATAGTTGAAAAGAATAAGGGGTTATTTTTACCTTTCGTTTGTGCTGGTATTATTTCACGCCTGTGCGAGAAGTCTCCTTCTTTTCTCAGTCATAAAAAATAGAGGTATTTTGTTTAAAACAAAAACAAATTAACTGAAAGTAAGGTAATTTAAAACGGGTATTAATTTATTCCCATTGATAGATAAGTTAGCATTTTATACTCCTTATGAAAGTATTTTGTCTGACTTTTATCAAGTTATTAAAATCGCCAGCCAAAATTTCTTGCAGGTACTGAACTTATATCCGATAGAGAATAAATATAAATTTGAATTTTTCTTTGCTTTATAATAGTGATTATTAATACTGTTATTGTTATTTATGTATGTTTCTATAAATATTTAGTAAGTGAAAATTAAAATTTAATTGAGAAACTTTTATTATTATTATTATTATTTTTGCAGGTCCCTCAGCTGGTTTCAAATCGTGCATGCAATATGAGTCTGGGTTCAAATTGCTTTAGATTGTTGTTTTTTATCCAACGATCACTATTAATTGTACAGTAATTCAAATGCTTACTGAAGAAATGTTTTAACAGTTTAATAAAGTTTGATACCATGAAAAATTTTAACTGCGCTCTTCTTGTCTTAGTGCTAAAATATCTCATGGCATAGCTCAGGAGTCTTTTCGTGCCTTCTTTTCCCAACAACTAGCAGATGCGATTTTTCTGTAGCTACAGCCACTGCTCAGAGAAAAGAAGAGTTCGTTCGACGACTGTTTACCCAGTGATGCGATTTATTTATCATAATAGTATATCTTTGCCATACTTACGGGTATGTAGACGGGGTCAATGTAGAATAGGTCCCAGTTATCTGTTCAACGTGTTCGAAATTGTTTCTGCCAACGAGGAATGAAAAATAATCCGCGGGAAAAAATGTCGGTCGGCTTTCTTTCTCGTAGATTTTTTTCTTTCGAATCTCTCAGTATCCTATTAGTGTCGAGAATATGCTAAAACATATTTTTTGGGTCACAAAAAAGATAATATTACACAGAATTAAAGCTAAAACTATTAGAAAACTTTCTTTTAAGACAGGAATGCGTAAGCGCAAACGATATGTTTTCATTCACCCCTTATTTGCAAAATGTACTGGCAACAAATCCCTTTTAGGCACATTATTTAACCCAGACTAAACGCGTGGGTGACAGGTGCTCCTCAGTGATATTTGTCGCATGTTTGCAACACTGTGTGTTTATTTTCGAAATAGCGCCTTCCAGTACAGTTGAACGTTAATTTTTTGTTTATTGCGACTTTACCAGCACGGAAATGATTTTCCTTATTCTAAATACCTTTTAATAGGTGGGCGACACCTATCACCCACATGTCTATTTGTGAACACAAAGGTATGCGTCAATACGGATTTTTAGAAGCTAATTTCGATTGAAACTCTAAGCTTCTCCAAAATGCACTATTTAATTTTTAAAATTACGTTAAATTAAAAAAATTACGTAACGTAATTTAACGTCAATTTTAAATTACGTTCATTTTATTACGTTAAAATGAGGTCGTATTCTTTATGTAACCAAGTTATTTGGTCCTTCAATGACAACTTATTTTATGTGTGTTTTAAAGAAAATCCTCAGCAGCGGTGGTTGCTCTTAAAACTGTTTGTATTAGTCATTGCATTTACACTATTTCTAGCAAACTTACCTGTTCTATATTCATCTTCAAACTAGAAAACGGAACGTTGAATCTGCCAATACATGTGCGTTGCTTCAGTTGCATACGAGCGACATGACGCCTTTCATCGTCTGGTTCCCATATAGGTTCCCATTCGTGCCACACATTTGCTACCAAGCTCCACAATGAGAATGCACTTTCTGTTGTATTCTTTGATCCGAGGAAAACAGATGGCGAGTGCAGGTGATGTAAGTGAGCTACATCAGCACCATTCTCTGGGATTTCCTAAAATCCACCAAATTATAAATTAATACTGCTAATAAATTTATTAAGTAAGTCAACAAATCTATTGACTACTTAAGAGCCCAGCATTTCTCAGCTGACCATTTTTTAAATTTTAATTATTTAACTCACTTAGTGGTATCCTCTTACGGAAAAATATACCCCGTAGAGCAAGGATGTCAAACTCGCGGCCCACAACAAATATTTTTGCGGCCCGACCAATATATCGGCAAATAATAATATATAATAATAAAATAACATATCGACGAAGAAAAAAATGAAATGTTTACTGCTAAGTAATTAACGATAATTTATTCAGTGTTGTTAGATTACTCACAGCGAGCTGACACACACACTACATAAATTACAAATGCGTGTGAGTAGCTTGCGTTCAGCTACCTTCGGCTTTTGGGGGACACGTGCACTCAGAACTTGTACGCATCCCCCGATAGCCGAATGTGGCCGAACTCATGGTCTCAGTTTTCCAATCATAGTTTTGTACGATATATTGGTGCATGCATGTGCATGCGCTTTGCTTTATTATTAATTATTACTTAATTCATATTGTTACGGATTTCATAGTTATTTATTTAATTATTTTTTTTTTTTATTTAGAATTGTAATTAGATTTGCTTCATGTTGCCTTAGCAACGCAGACGATTTTTGAAAAGACAGCTGCGTTGGAAGGTTAAAAATAGAACAGCGCGTGCATTTAATAATACCTAATAAATAAATATCTCGTAATTGCTGTTGCCATCCACAAAAAAATCCAGATATTTATAGATGTTTCCAGTATATTCGAGAAATTAATTATAAAGCTTATAAAAGCCGAGAACAAACAACTCATCTCAGTAGTAGCTGTAGTTCTAGCGAACTGTTTGTTTACTTAATGCTGTGATTGATTTGTAGCGATTTCGCTGTGAGATAGAATTAGCTTCTCTGTTTTGAATTGGTTTTTGCTAAACGTTTGACATTTTGTGATATTGTTAGAATATTTTTGAAGAAATATTTCAGCATTTTGATTTATTTCTTGTGGAAAGAATAAATTTTTGTTTCAGTCATGAAAGGTAATAAGTCTCCTATTAGAAACCGTATTAATGATGCTCACCTTGGGTCAGCGTTGAAATTTATCACTGCAAACAAAATTTCTCCCGAAATAGGAAAGATAATAGCAGAGAAGAGATGTCAAGTATCAGGACGTAAACATTAAATTTTTCTTGTTCTTTTTTATATAAATATATATATATATGTTTATTATAGTATTATTCGAAATAAATCTACGTTTCTATGAATATTGATTTTTTTTTTTTTTTTTTTTTTTTTTTTTTTTTGGCCGCCTAAAGTTAAACCTTGTTTGTTTGGCCCAAGTGTACCTATGAGTTTGACATCCCTGCCGTAGAGGAACTGCCTAGTATCCACGTTACACATGGTGAAAACCACGAAAACGTACATCCAGTGAGCCTGTACATCGGGATTCGAACTCCAGACCGAACTACCTGTTAGCGATTTTACTAATGTGCCGTTGGTGGGCCTCAGCTGACCATTTGGACTACTTAGTTCTGTCTTAATATTCTTTCGATTATTGGACTTATTCCTGATTCAAGGTAAATATTGCATAATATAAAGTAATTAATGAGAATCAGCTTCATGGATTCTTCTGATTATAGAAAATTTAAATGAATAGAAGAAAACTTTTATTAATTATTCATTCTAATTATTTAATCAATTACAGTTTCAGTTAATCTGTTTTACAGTTGTTTCATTCCTGGCACATGTTTTTTTTTTTTTTCTTGTCAAAGGAAAACCTTAGTATTAACTGAAGATTATTTTAATATAAAAGAAAATCAAAGAAAAAATTCTGCTCAAAGTTGTATTTCCACTTCTGCGCACTGCTTGTCTGATTGGATTTATGGTGACTTGCAGGTACAATATTTACAGATTAAAGCTCACTGAGATTCTCTGATTTAGGTAAATGGAAATTTGTACAGACGTTTTTAAGAATTAGTTAAAGGGGAGAGTCTTCTTAGGAGTTGTAGTACTGTGCAGCCTTGTTAACTTTTGTAAATGGTTACTGGTTGTTAATTGCCATTGTAAATATATATTTACTGCATTTTAGTTAATTTCTTAGTTTACAATGTGTACAATGTCAGTTTTTGATGCCTGTTTATTCCTTTGAATGATTTGGAGAAACACGGTAGGACTACCGTCCTAAGGTAAGGTATGCCATCGTGTAGCGCTTTCTAAGTAAAATCGATTAATAGTTATGCTACACAAGCGGAAAACCGCGAAAAACTCCTTGTAGCAAGCCGGTTCACCAGATTCCATTGTGAATCGAGTTTTAAATTTTCAGTGCTTCAGTTTACTAGAATGACAGTTCTTGGTTACCAGTAATATTTAGTTACTATTATTTTCTTGCAGTTTGCAATGAGTTAAATTGTGCTAAAGCGAAACATTTTGTAAAGTAGGGACATGTAGTAACTGGTTAAAATTTGGTATGGAAATAAAAGCTAAATCTTTATGACATAAAAATAAAAAGTCTGTGCATTCTAAAATAGGTAATTTTGAGCATTCAGTTTCTTGCAGTAAATAAATTAATTATCAATCGCTTTGAAATCAAAACAGTGTCAATAAGATATGAATATTAAGTATGTTTTGAACTTTTTTCATAATTAGAAAATGCACGATTTTAATCAATTGTACATTTTATAAATTGCTCGTATTGCAAAGAGCATCAGACCAGAAAAGTATCTGAAATAAAAAAATCCAGTTATAGTGTCATTAGGTTAATTGGGAGCAGGAAGGATGAAAAATGAGCAACGCCTTCGCCGGGAATCGAACCACAGACCTCTGGAATACACGCCCAGGTTGCAGACCACCACACTACGAAGACATGTCAAGAAGGCGGGAGAAATACCTTATATACTCCACCTTTTAAAGGAAGACTGGGATTTTAGGGGACCCAGTCGCCAAATCCTGGGTGTGGAGAATCATCATCCAACACCCTTTTAGTTCGGGCGCCAATGTAGAGACATTAGGATTTTTTGGATGTACGCAAGAGGAAACATAAGCAACGCCTTCGCCCAGAATCGAACCACGGACCCCTGGATACGCGCCCAGCGTGCAGACCACCACACCACGAAGGCATGCTAAGAAGGCGGGGAAAATACCTTATAATAGAAGGAAACAACAACAACAACAAAAAAAAAACTTTTTCTCTTTGTGAATTTGACTTATAGTATTGCCTGTTTGAAATTATTATTTGCTGACAGGTAACAGTAGAAGCTAAGTCATCATCTCGGTCGTACCACAGGCGATTAAGGCACTGCTGTACCTAACTATCTGTTAAGCTTCCTCACCATTTGGAATTGAGAGAGAGAATATCCAGAGAGACGGTCCAAGAATAACTACCACCAGCATTTCGAGAGGATTTTGGTTCCCCGTGTGTTTTGAGTACCTTTCTGCACAGACATTGTACGCTTACGTACATCCATGCCTTCTCCAGGAATTGAGCTCGAGTTCTTTGTCATTCACCACGACTCCGTCTGGGCGGCAATAATTGTTTACAATTTTTCAAAACAATAAATAAATATAAATATAAAATTAACGTAACTAGATTTATATAAAGTTAATCAGGGGCGCGAGTGAGAAGTTGTTTTTAATAAATCATAAACAATGCAAAACTATTTTAAATATTATATAAAAATTAATCACTTAAAATGCATATTACAATATTATTATATATTTACAAGATTTAATTACTGTTCAGGCCCATGAAGTCTAAAGCTGCAGATTTTAATGAACTGCAAAATCATCTTATATATTTCCTTACTTCCGTAATTTTTTCTGAATGCAGGGAAAGTGAATTTCTCGATCGTAAAGGAACTCGTAAGAACGCTGCATCATTTACCGCAAATTATTTTAATTGGTTCTTGTGTATACATGCTCATTACAACACACGCACGCATATCCACACGTGCGAGCAAAAGAAGGATATACATATAATTAAATTTTGTCTTTCTAAAACATTTACAGAATGTAACAATAAAAATTTGTATAATGTATGCTTAGGGAATAAAGGCATTTGGAACTCCTAACATGAAAACAGAAACATAATTTGCATATGACATCCTTTTTACAGGCAGCTATTTGGAAAAAGAGACATTCTTATTGGTTATTGATGGTTGTGGAACTCGATACGTCCTCATTTGAATGAACGTGCATTGCTTATGAAGCTATCCGAAGCACTAATAATACTACTGCGAACCTTCGAAAGTGCGGAGCTGTGAAAAATTCAAAATCTTGTAATTAATGAATTAGAGGTAAGGTTGCTAAAGGAGTAGCTACGTTATTCACAATTAGTAACTTCACTTCAGCTGCTATTTCACGCTTTAAAAGTTTTTTAGAAGGAAGAAGTTTGGCTGGTAAAATAATCTTTGATATATACGTTTAAAATATTACTAATACGAAAGGGATGTTGGTAATATCTTACATTCTTCCAACCATCACATACTGTCCTTACATATCCTATTTTCTTGTGCCTTTATGCCCTTTTTCTCTGTAGCGGTATTCCCACCTGTTACATTTAATTTAAAGAAAACACAAAGCAAATAAAAAATTCCTTTCTTTTTAATAACTGTTTTAGTTTTCCATGAATACAGAAATTAACGTAAGATTAAATGATTTTGCTCGTGTCTTTAACATAAACCACCAAAATTTCGAAGTGATCCCATGTCCCGGACATTTCCACATTTCAATGCAGAATATATCTCTGCTTCAGAATATATCTTTGAAAATGACCTGAATTCTGTAAAAATTTCCAGATTTTGTAAATATAATTAACTTGAATCATCTTAGTGCCGTTTCATTGGTCATGAAGATGCTTTTATGGGATTAGAAATACATCTACTAAACTAATAACCATGCTTTCTAGATATTTATTTCAAGGAACACAAAAGAACTACAAAAAGATTGATTTGAGACACAATAATTTCTGAATTTCTATTTTAGATATGTTTCGTACTTAAAAACTGGATGAGGAAATTCTGAAGGATTTCGAATATATCACTAACTGAAAATATTGCACAATATTAGTAAGTGGAGAAACATTTAATTTTCGATTGAAAGTATTTTAACAAAGGATAGTTAAATAGTCACAAACTATTTAATATAATATTCTACTTAGAAAGATCTAAAATACCTGAAAAGTGGAATAACAGTCTAAGTATAAAACTGAAATTGAGCGTAATGGAGCAAAATATTTACCATTCTCAATAGCAGCCATGTTTCTTTTAAATCTATAACAATATACAGTCAATATTTCGTAGTAGGAAACATGGAAAAACAACTACTCGCTAAAACCTGAATTGTGGATCTTCCGATTTTTCAGTCGGAAGTATTTCCAGTCACACAACGAAGGCACATAAAATTCCTTACAATCATTAATAATTGAATAATTGTTACTAGAAATCAATGCAGCATTTGTCATATAAAGTGAAACCTTTCATGACGTCCATCTCTAAAGGAGGACTGTATTTTTGAACATGAATAAGTATTGATATTGAATGTTATAATAATCATATTCCCTAAGATAATCTTTCATCTTGAAAATCGATTAGCTTAGAACCGTAGGATCTGTTTAGGGGGCATTCTCTGTAAAATGGAAACGAAAGGGGAAAAAAACCCAAACAAATGTCATAATCTTTTGAAATAATAAGATTTTGCTGCCACTAAAATGTATATTTTTTCTTCTACAGACGACGAAATTGTTCTGCATTATTTTCTGAAAAGTGTGGTTTCACTATATATAATGAAGTTTTTGAAATGTATGGCTCACATTCAGCGTTCTATCGACTTTTAGGAAAGCAGTTCCACTGCATTTGCAATTTGAGAAACTACAAAATTTACCTGTATATGGCACTTTGCTTCGTGTTCCGTTCTTCCCCTAAATATCCATCGTCCTTCTTCAACATCGGGTATAGAAGGCATTTCCCAGTCAGGAGAACAATCTTCTGCGTGGTACCATACGAAAATGTAGCCATTCCGCTCACGTGTCGGCCAAACTTTAGTTTTAGCAATATCGGGAACTAATAAAGATAAGAATAAGGAAATATAAGTGTTTTTCGTTAAAGTAATAAGTTCTATGACTAGCATGAAATATTTAACTAGAAATCTGGTTTCAAATTCTAAAGCAAGCGCGATCAACAGAATACTGGAAACGACGCAGGCATACGTATTATTTAATGTAAAAGCATTTGCATAGTTTCACTGTATTGTTCGCTTAGATTTCAACATCTCATTTAGAAAGAGATGAGGTATAAACATAATGAGATCAAAGAAAAGGTCTTCGAGAACTTTGTCCTAACTACAACCAAGTTGGCAAAAATCAAGAGAAGTTGCAAAATTTAAGAGCAGAAAAGAAATGCGCAACGCTTTATATGTATAAAAAATAAGATCACCTAGCAAAAGAAATAAAAATGTATTTCTCTATTTAAAGACGAAGAAAGTACGGTTTAAAGCTTGAATCGTTCATTAAAGTAGAGAGAGATTTTTGTGGATGTTAAAATCCGCAAAGATCAAATGTTAAAATCATCGAATGATGAAGAATTGTGACTGCTTTTAGAAAAACACCAAATGGAAGTTTGGTTTGCAGTTTGTAAATCAGCAATGCTGTGTAATGAATTATTTATGCTCTTTGATGTAAAATTTGAAAGCATAATCGAGTTTAAGATTAAAGGGAAATATTTATGTCTTCCGTTTGTAGATCGGTTTATAACAAACTGAACTGCAAAGGAAAGCTATAAATTAAACATCTTTAAGAATAGAATATGAAATTTATTCATAGGGAAAAAAATTAGTTAAAAGAGGGGTTTGATTTCCTCAAAGGCAAGTGCGACACATGGGCCAGGCTTGAAAACGGCCAAGAAGGCCTGACCCTCCAGAAGGTCACGGTCGAACCTTCATATTCAAGAAGCTTCCAAATCCTTCGATAGTACTTAAAATATTTAAAAGCGTATTATTTTTTTTCTAGTTTTAAGATCTTAAAATATAAAACGTGAAGCAGAATTCATCAAAAGAAATAATTTCTTTCACAATTGAAAGAAAGTGATATTTTTTAAATTCTAAATTTTTACATCTGCTGAGTATTGAATTGGTAAATAGTTTAACAATATTAATTTAATTATATTTATATAATTTAATTAAGTTCGTATCTCTAAACAAAAAAAAAAAAAAAAAAAAAAAAAAAAGGGAACCTAATTTAAAATATTACATTAAATACATACATAAAACGCAACCATGAAAAACTAAAACTATTGGACTGAAAAGTATAAAAAATATGTCATTTTTTATTCAAATAACTTCGAATGAAAAGTATTAAATTATAAGGTTATTTTGAAGAACACTTTAGATGAAATCTAATTTACATCAGTTTCAACTACTACGACGAGATCATGAGAGGAGGGATTTTGTTCCGGACTTCCGGTTTAGTAAATCGAGCTGTGATCGAAAATCAAACTAATGCAAAATTATTCACTTGCAGTTATCTTCACTTGCAATGGCTTTCAAGCAGCTTATTTCCAAATTAAGGACATATTTAACAAACCTTAAATGCAAGAAAAACAAAAGTGTAAAATGGAACATACTTCAAACATTTGGCACGAAAGAAAAGGCCCACCGAGGATTTTGGATACACTTTGATATAAAAACTGGAAAAGTTGGATGTAATTAAAATGCCGAGAAAAAGAAGGGAATTAATTGAAGATTTATAGCAAGTCCAGAATGAAAAATCTAGTTTTCTAAGTTTTTTTCTTTTAATTCAAAATAGTGCTTGTAGATATCCACAAGAAGAAGGCTCACCATGACTAATTTTTCAGCTTTGTGACAATAATTGCTTTGAAAGACGAAATGCATTTATTTAAGAGATACCAAGGTGAGTCCGATATCAATCCTTGAATTTCAGCATGTAAAAAATGAAATTTACTATGTGTAATTTCTAGGTAACCTATAATACCTTTTATGGAACATAAAAGAACAAGGATTTAACATCAAACGAAGCCATAAAGAAGAAACTACATGAAGAAATATTTTTAAATTAACAGACTGTTTGTAACTAGTTTTTACAATTATAATTCTATTGAATAATGAAAGGGAAACTCTAATGACCACATCATGCCTAGACTAGAAATTTTAGGAGAAATGGATTGTCAGTTTTGTTAACTATCAAATTACCTGTTTCTAAAAAGACACTTAATTATTTCTTTATTATTCCATTGACCATGAAAGTATCGCCAAGGTAGGTGCGCAATTTAACGACAGTTATGGATAAGAGTAAAGTAACAATATGTTCACAACATCTGCTCTTTCGTTTGCTGTAACTTCGATTGAATCTCGATAAGCCACATTTTCTTTTTTATGAATAAGGATATAAATTAACTATTGCTATTATTATTATTATTTTGTCACTGAAAAAAAATTAAAACTTGGAATTTGCCTTTTACAGAATAACAAGCAATGGATGGGATCCTATCATATAACAAATGCGTATTAAGGACACGATATGTTACTTTATTTGAAAATGAATAAACAATGGCAATGCAACGTAAAAACAATTGTGACAAGAGCATATCCATTCCAAAAAAAAACGTAGTTCAGCGGCTATAGAATCACGTTTATGACTGCACTGCAGTTAATTTACAGCCAACCTAGATAATTAATATATTTATGTTAAATGGGGGAAAATAACAGCTGGACATGGTTGTTAAAATAGTAACAGATTGAAAAAAAAATCTGTTGGAAATTTGCACTCATAGTATTCTAAGCAGAGCTTCCGGTAAAATGGAAGAGCCTAACGAAATAAGAGAAAACTTCGAAAGCCTTTTTACGACGCCTAAAAACGCAGCGAGTTGAATGCTGATTGTTTATTAAATCAAGAGGTGCAAATTTCTTTAGAATTCTGCAGAAACAATTGGCGCAAATTAAGCGAAATCTCAGTAACTTTCACGTTTCAGTGGTAGCCAATGGTTTTTTGTGAAACCAGTGGCTTTTTTAACCAGGAAAATGATTTAAAACACATAATTTCGAAAGTGGTTTTTTTCTTCTTTTTTAAGTTTTATTCTGTGTTATGCAAAATTTGGCCTCGAGAGCGAGGCCAAATTTTGCATAACACAGAATCAGAAGATTTTTAGTAGTATGAGGAGAGAAGAAGTAAAATAATATGGAATTATGTTAAAACTATGCAGAAGTGTCAAAGCAAGCAACAAACCTTTATTTGCGTAGGGAATTTTACGACATACGCCGTCTTTCCCACTGAACTGCCATCCATGGAAAGGGCACTGGATATTTTCTCCAACTACGCAACCTCCAACTGAAAGATCTGCACCCAGATGTGGGCAATAAGGATCTATGATGTGAGCTTTCCCTTCCTCACTTCTGTAAACGCAAAACCGCTGTCCTGAGAAATACAAATAAACATTTTCAGAAAATATTTCAGTTTTCATATTTCAAATAAAATTATTTCAACTAAATAATTTATTTACAAGTACTATTTCATACATTACATATGATTACAAATTTGTTTTTAAGCACATTAAGTATATTTGGTCAGTATATTAAGTTTGGTTTTCTTAGACATCATAAATTGTACCTAACTTTAGGTAGATTGATAGCGAATTATCGCGAAGTCTAAAGATAAAGACTAGTCTAAAGACTTCGCGATAATTCGCTATCAATCTACCTAAAATTAGGTACAATTTATGACGTCTGAGACTTGGGAAGGACTCTTTTTATTATAATTAGCATTAACATAGAACAAAAGCACATCTAGTGCTTACACACTCAGTCAGAACTTATGGCGAGATAGCTTAAAAATAACAGGCAAATGTAATTTAAATTTTAATAAGCTAACAGCCAGAGTCTATAAACAGATCAATTTAATGTGAAGTTGGCTCATGAACGAACCCGGTGTAGACACTCAAATGTCAGCAGTAAATAATGAAAAGGCAAGCAATTCAAGAAGATATTAAAGAACGGGAGTGAAAAGTAACGTGCTCTGTAACAGCTTTAAATATTATTAAAATCTTGTAGTTTAAAATAAAATAAATAATTAGATGAACATTAAGGTATTTGTGAATGGCAGTATTTGAAGCCAGGCTCCAGTGCCACGTGCGACTCTCGCACGAAGAATGCAATTTATTTTTAAATGTTAGAATTCTTTCTTTCTTTTTTTTTGTTTTGTTTTGTTTTGTTTTGTATGTCGCCATTTGAGTGCTAAATAAAGTTTTTCTGTGTTCCATCATTGGTTTTGCTTCATATTGCCAAAGAAGTATCACAGCTCGCATACAGGCAGAAATACTCTCTGAATTAAACTCCCGAAGCATTCTTTCAAATACTATCCATTTCGTCCTCATTTAATTTCTGGTAGAGAAAGAGAAATGAGAAGTGACAGTAAAGAGCCAAAACTTAACTGGTTAGTGAAAAACTATTGCAATAACCCTAAAAATTAATTATATATTTCAGAGAAACAAACAGAAAAAAGCACATATATATGTATTTCAAATATATATTTGAAAAATATGTTTCAAATATGTAATTTTTAATGATTTCGGTTTCTCTGAATTAATAATTTTGTTCACAGAAATTATTTGAAATAGCCTGAAGTTCCACTGTATACATACTTTTCACATCTGGCTTATGACTCTATTCAAGTAATTACAGTTCTTTCGCTGTTTTACATATGTCAGCATTTTTCGTAGCATCATCCTTAGTTCTATTTCATTTTAAAAGGCGAAAAATCATTTCATTTTTCGTGAGTAGTTGAGGTAGTAATTTATACGTAGTATGTTAAATATATTTTTAGTAATTTATAATTACAGAAATTCAACTAAATTAATGAAAACTGGAAGATTTCACAAAATTTTACCGAAAAATTTCCAATCGTTTCCTGAAAACTTCACTACATCTGCCCAGAACAGGTTTTAAAGCATCCGCAGAGTAAATTGCTCGGATGATTAAGGTTCTGCATTACCTGTTATCGGTCTAGAAGAAGAGTCATTTTTATGTTTAGCACTGTATAGAGATTTACTCAAAATTAAATGAAATAGAACTCGAGAAGTAATTAATTATATAATTATCCATGCATTTAAAAAATATCGAACACAAATTCGCCTCTCATAAAACAAAATGTTTTGCAGAAGATTTTGCTTATTCCTCCTAATTTCCATGATTTAAGTCTGCAGTTTAGTTTCGAAGACATTCCAGATCCCCATAAAGCATACAATGGATAGCTTTCAACACCATAGACCTGGAAGTTGAATTAACACTACATGGAAGTAAGTTGTTTTGTGGTAATAAGATAAATTTTACTAATTTGTTTAAATGCTTTTTTAATCAAGGTTTCTCTCCTCGAAGCCACATGCATGAAAACAACTACTTTTTGTATGCTTTTATTTTGAAGTCTGTAGAAGCAGCCATTTTAAATTCTAAGTGTAGTTTATTGAAGTAATTATTGTACCAGAAATTTGAAATATTAAAATTTAAGTATTTGCTCCTTTAAAAAAATTCTTTATCAAGCGAAGATGGTATGCAGTAGCTGTGGTAAATGTAATTCGATTGGCCAATTTATATTTCACTGAATCCATTATTTTGTTCTATCTATTCTTTAACAACATAGTGAGAAAATTTTACTTTCTCGCTCCATTTATAAGCATTTGTTTTAGATTTGAAGAGCTTTAATCTATATTAATTTTTTTCCCCTTTTTATTCTGATTTGCTTCTTTCCAGAAGATAGAAATTTAAATATTGTAAAAAAGAGATGAAAATGCATATGAATATAGTAACTTGAAGAAAATACTTTGAGTTCATTCTGCAATGATTTGCTCGGCTCTGTAGGCTGTAAGAATTAAGGAAACATCAAGATCTCGTATCAATAAAATGTTTCGATTTGGTAATTGAAATTTTGATGAGCATAATTTTAATCTGTTAATACTAGTATTTACATTTTTTTTTAACTTTTTTTTTAATACGTAGACTGAAGATAACAGATTTTATCGTTACCAAACATAGTAGATTTTATTAAGTTGTAACTGTACGCAGGTTATCTTTCGACCAGTACGCTCGTTGCAATCTATATGCAAAAAAGGCCTCTTCCTCTAAAAGTGTTAAATACGCAAATAAATTTACTGCCTATTCATACTGTCTGACAGACAGAAGATTAATTCATGACAACGTAAAGCTATAGTTAAAGAACTTGCTTGTATCCTAAAAGATTTACAGTTGAGCAAGCGGCAGAAGTGATGCAACGGAATTCTATTTCTTTGCGAAAGCGCTGATACACCTTTTATTTCTATAATGCCTGGTAGCAAACGTAGCATTTAGACCGAACTGACTTACATTTTGTGTAACTAAACACATTTTATCTACCGTGTCTGCTCTCTTAACAATGAATCACTTTTATATTGTTGCGTTTTTTTCTTTTCTGTTGTTACGTTATTTTCTTCTTTCACGTTCCTACGGGGTTCGTGTGGATTTGGAGTGAAAAACGACGACACTTGATGAGGTATCGAAACACACTTTATTTGCCAGTATTGTCAGGACAGCTCCAAAACACGTTTTACAGTCGTCAATGAACTACTATACACACGCTGACACGATCAGCGACACAGCCTTCAGTATATCGCTATCACGGTGGAGACAGCTTCCTGCAAAGCACCCGACTCTGCTTTCCGAGTACAGCTCCCGACTCTGCTTGGTCGTTCTCGGAACTCCACGTACTCTCAAGACTCTCCCACCTACAACTCGCGATGCACTCGACGACCACGAGCACAGCTCCCGACTCTTCGGTTCAGTCTTTCCCGGAGCTCAACACGCTCTCTCGACGATGCACTAACCGCGATACACTAACAGACTCCTTCGTTTTTAACGCACATTTTTCGCATATCGAAGCTGAGACGTTTGAAGGTCATTTCCATTCCTCCTTTCTACCCTTCCCCACATCATGGAATGTGCCAACAGGAAGTCATTTGACTTTTTTTTAACTGGGCTTTTGTGCTACGTGGCAGCTTTTTCATAAAAGTTACGAAACGCGCGTGCTCGTGTTTTAAAATTCGGAAAATATTTTTTTTTTCAAATATTTTGTAATTTTCTGTTATTAATTATCGTGTATTATTCAAATTTGAATACATTAGGCTCTGTAAATTTTATATCGGTTTTCATGGCAAAAAAATGTGTGCAACCAGCTTATTTTGCTCGGATTCTTCAAGAATTATCTGATGAAGAAAAGGAAGGGATGGAAACATTTGGAGGGAGAACAATAGCGATTTCCATTCCTTATTTTCTTTTATTTCCAATTTTTACAGATAAATAAAAACATTAAAGTTAGTTTTAAAAGGCGTTTTGTAACCAGTAGAAGTAAATTTCCTTGCAGAAGTAAGTAATGCTAAACTTACTTTTTTTCTCCTACCAAGGGATTTCCTTTTTATTGTCTCTACTTGGCTTTGATGAATACAAAAATTAGCTTCGATTTTAAAATATAATTATTACATAATAAATTTAAAATTTTCTATAATGAAATACACTATTGCATTTCCATCTCACTAACATAAGAACTCAAAAATAATTTACGTATTTGAATTTGATATCATTTGTATTTTGCAATAATAAGATTAATAATTTATTTCTTAACAAATTTATTATCAATATTTACTCATTTCTGTCGTTTTCGTGCCAAAAACCGTAAAATAACGGATGTCATAAAAATACAACACGCGCGTGCTCATGTAAAATTGCCAAGCGTGCGTGCTGGAAGGTTAATGGTGAGTATTCCGGGAATGTATGCGTAACTGCTATTGTCCATTTTGACCGCTATCGAATGAAATTTAACGATGTTTTTGCATGATATCTTTACGTTAGGACAGAATAAATTAATTTTTTCTCCAAACGAATTATAAAAATGATATAAAATGGATTCAGAAGAGACTTTTTCGGAACGTCTGTACGTACGCTCGTACGTATGTATGTATCTCGCATAACTCAAAAACGACTGGCCTCAAGAAATTTTGTATATAGGGCTGCTATAACATATAGTTGTGCACCCCCTCTTTGGTTGCAATCGGCCGCAGCAAAAGTATATAACTGTATACAGGGTGTATCAGTAGAGCAGTGACAAACTTTGAGGAGGGATAGAGTACAGCTAGATGATGGGAAATCACATAGGAATGCATTTTTGATGATCAGAGTAGAGCGACGATGGGCGAAGGCACAGTTCTGGACAAAAAAGGAGGCAAAACATTTACATGTTTTAGCAGAAAACTACAAATAAGAACAAAAACAAACAACAATCGTCATTAAAGAAGATGTTCGAAATTACGACCCTGTACCGTGATGGACCCTCACTTCTCTGGCGAAGAGCATTCCTGCATCGATGCATTCGAACACCTTCTTTGTTTTTGCTGTACTCTGAATAATAAACATGTTTTCTCGCCCCGTTCGTGTCCTTTCTTTCTTGACTTTTGTGTCGTCACTACCGCGCCAACAAAGCGTTTCCGACCATGCATTCCTATGTGATTTCCCATCGTGTAGGTGTACTCTATCTCTCCTGAAAGTTTGCCACCGCTGTACCGATACACCCTGTACACCCACTCTCTTACTCGGCTCGGTGAGCTCTGATATTTATTATTCTTATATATTGGTAAATTGTGCATTTTTTGCTTTAAACGGGAGTGACTTATGCTGTTCTTATCTTCCGGTTAAGATTTTTATGCCTTTAGTTAATCTCCATGGAATAGTTGTAGAATTATCAACAATTTAAAAGTTATTTAAGGGCGGCTAAGCTTAATTTGTTTTATCGTAGCAGCCATATTTGTTTAAATTTGAAATTTAGTAGAATAGGGAATTATGTCTTTCTGCACCTTCAGTGTCCTTGTGCCGACTGGGACCAAAACAAGACATTTAGTTTTGTGCACCGAAAAATCAGCCTTCTTGTCTGCTGACCGAATTGCTTGTTTTTCAGCAGAAATTGCAATTTTAATTGTAAAACTGTTTTAAATTGTTTTAACTTCATTTGGTGTTTTATGTTTTTCTATATCTTTCAATTTTTAATGAATATATTTTGAGTTTTTATGTACTTTTGCCTTTCTTCGAAGTGAGAATTGAATTGATTGAATGAGAAATATATCTCTAATGAAATTCGAGGAAACAAATTTTAAACGAAATGCAGGAAAAATGCGTATAATTTAATATTCCGAACAAAAAAGTTATGTGGTGTACGTATCAGATTTTTTTTTTATTTTGTCTTCTCTGAACTGATTATTTGCCATTATGAAATGACGCCTGGATTAAGCATTCTCTTGCAATCGACAAAAGAAAAAATTAAATGTATTTCACATTGCTTCTGACTTTTGAAAAATTGATCCTAGTCATTCTGCAAATGATAATACAGTACTCAGTAGCTAGAAAAAGCAGAAAAATAAACTTAAATGATTTCTGTCTTACCAAGAGCTTCAACAGGAATCAGAGCTCCTTTGTTCAATGATCTGGATTCTACGATGGGTATCCAGCCATTGGTGTAAACCGGAGGCATAAATTCAGAATTCCCCTGATCCACCCTGTTATGAATAATCCTTTCAATATTCTTGTACCTTACCATAGGGCACTTTAGATGGTTATACTTCCCGCTATTCACATTCTGAAAATAATAATGAACACATTATTACTTTCTAAAAGTAGTCAGGTTTGCTGCTGAAAAATGAAACTAGATAATATTTATTTGAACTTACCCTTTTTATATCTAATGGCATGCTCCAGTGGTATCGCACGACTATCATGGTCAAAAACATTGTACCAGATAATAAAGTTACGAAATAAATGTGCTGGCAAAGTGGAACATTTACAAATTCTGTTAAAGTATGTGCAACATCATAAGCGCCTAACAGGGAACAGACTAAATCCAAGAAGAGGAAGAAAATGAAAAAGACAATAGTGATCTGAAAAAAAAAAAAAAAAAAAAAGCACAAATATAACAAAAATCTTATTACGTCATGAAGACACCAAATCCATATCATTGCCATAAAATTATTAAAAGGTACAACGACACATTCTTTATGATTGAATGCCATAAGTTTAAAATGGCTTATAAAATTAAAGCTATTGCAAAACTTTTTACATTTAGCTCTTTGTAAACGTGCATAAAAATTAATTATAAAAGTAGATTAGTAGATTGAAAATAGTATACGTTTAGTATACTATTTTCAAGACTTCCTACTCATGTTCAGACTCTTCTACGGCCGGCCCGCTCCCCGGACTTGTCCCCTAAAGAGCCTGTGTGGGACATCTGAAACGCCAAATGCTGCCGTGTCACTCTGGACATGATGTGAAGGTGGCTGTTCCAAAATTTATAAGATTTGTAACATAGAAGAAGAAGGCTTTTAATATTCCAGAACAGAAGATTATTTGTCTTTTTCCAGGTGGTATGTCCAGGAAAATAGCTGTATTTTAACATCAATACAAGTTATTTATAAAAAGTTAATTTATGTTGACTGATCAGAGTTATGCACCAAAAATTAACTATAGCATCTCGAGATATGTTTTTTAAACATGTGTAGGGTGTCTCATGCTAATTAACCAGTTATTAGGATTTAAGTCTTTACTATAACTTCTCTTTTCCATATTCTTCACAAAAACTCAAATTAAGTTTTTTTATGTATTTAAGCTGAGAGTTTTGAATCTTGCAATCTCGTCTTGCTCCTAGTATTTTCGCCAGCTGTGCTTAAAAGTTATATTCTGGCTTTAGCATCTCGCTGGCCGATGTTTTAACTTAAGTGCCGGTAAAATACATCTTGAGCGCGCTTATTCTATTGCATGTGCAGTCTTAGACTACGTTATCTTCGTTTGAATTTAATTGTTTGTTATTGTTAAGTTAAAATCCACAAGTAGGGAAAGTTTCGTTTGTAGCACAGGTTGTGCTTTTTCTGTTGCTGTGCTTATTTTTAAGGTTAAGTAAAAAGGCTATTCTAACCTTCTCCAGCATTTTGTAAGCTGTCTAAGACACAGCGATAGTCACTGTTTGTCTAGTTAATGTCTTCAAAACTAAAAAATTTAGCTTCCGGTTATAACAGAAACCCTATACCTGGACTACACATAGACCAATTTAAAGTAAGCTGGCTCAGATATTTACAAAATCGTAATTTAAAACATCAGCTATCGAGATAATATAGCCGGAATACAACTTTGAAGTTGTAAAAAATACTAACAACAAGAAGGAGATGCCAGAAGCCACGAAGATTCCAAACTCTCAAAATTCAAGTACAGAAAACCTAATTTGTATCCTGGTGGGGAATGAGGAAAGAGGAAGTTATCCGCATTCATCCCCAGAATGCAAGCTTAAATTATAATAACTTACAAGACTCGGTAGCCGATATCTTAAATTAAGCGCCGGTAAAATATATCTTGAGCCAGCTTATTCTGCTAATTATTATAACTGGCTAAATTAACATAACTTATGTACTATACACTAATAACTTAAATGTTATGAAAATTAACTAATATATTGGCAACGGAAAAATAATAATAACATTTTTAGCTAAGTTGTTGTGACATGATATGCTGTTATCTAAAATCGTTTCAAAAGACTGGAAGTTTTTAGAAAGAAAAATGTCAACTGATGCGAAGATTCTAAGAGCAGATTCTTGATTTCTAAACAGATTATTTAGTACTCCTGATTGATGAATATTAAGTTGTCGTTGTAGAGATAAGTTTAATATTTTGTTGGTATGCTTTTAGCAGATTTTTTTATTTTTATAGTTTAATTAGGATAAGTGAGAGTAGATATTGTTATAATACCATTGTATTCAAAACTGCAATAAAATTATAACCGTTGTATCAGAAAATATGGACCGAAATTGAAGAGAAAAAAAGTTCCATTCTGTATTAGTCCCATTTTGAATTATATTGTAATTGTATACGAGTCAGATTCCTAATTATCCAATAATTTCCTGTTTCTAGAAATGCAGTTGTTATGTTTCTGGATTAGCAACAGTGCATTTACTGCTATAATGTAAGTCGTCCTGTTCTTCTAGAGAATTTTGTATAAGTAGTTATAAAATAAAAATAAATTGTACAGTTTATCTTGGATCTGTTAGGCGGCGTTTATTATTACCCATTTGAAAGACATAAGAGAATCTAGAAATTAATTATTTAAGTTGTATATCACTTGTACCATCAGTGACCTCAGAAGAATACCCGAAAAACCAAATAAACCAAAAAGTGTGTTATTTACATGTTCTAGTGACTGCTTTTATGAGAACCATTTCTAGTTACGATCATTATCTATGCAAAGGCCTGCTGTATCTTACCATACTTGTGCTTAACTTTCCAGTTATAATAATTGCTAGCGCATTTAATATGACAGCATAATTTAAATATAGTCAGAATCAGATGCATTGAAATTTCTAGTATACCTACTAATGTTTCAAGTTTTTATGCACAAACTATATATTATTAAAAAAAAGTGTCTTTCAGGGCTGCAAACTGTCCATCATGATACAGTGATTACACTTATTAATGAGAATAAATAACAACGTCTTTGTGACCAATATGTCAAATCAGTTCAAGAAATTTAACGTGGAAAAATAAAATCATAATCTATCCAGTTTGGTGAAATTATCACGTACAGCTGATTTTTTTTTTCTCCTTGGTGTTTAGTTTCTTTTAAACTATAAAATTTTTCTTTTGATTGATATTTAAGAATTATGTTGGTTTTGTGGTACACGCATCTTATTTATTAATCATCCAGAATAAACAGGCTAAGTATATGGATTAATTAATGCAGACTAAGTAATGTGAGAATCTTATATTGTCATATTACCCTCTAGGAGTGATTATTATACGTATTTATCCTGCATTTAGCAGCTGGCAGAACACGGTAAAATAGCTACGTACACGGTTTCTTCAAAACAAATCAAAGTAGGAATTGTAGAATTATTTTATTTTTAATGAAAACAAACATCAAGTGCTTGATAAAATAATTTTTAAGCAGAATGCTACTTTACGTACATTTTCATTATCAGAAAATTTGAATTACTTAGTTACAAAAATAAAAGCCATAAAATAAAACAAATTGAATTTGATTGTTCTGAATAATGATAGTTTAATTTTATGTCTTAAAATATAGAAAACTATGTTGTTCTAAGCAAGAGATTCTGAATCAATTATATAAATTTTAATTAGTAATACACAAAATAAAAATTTCAATTTCTTATACTCACTCGAAGAGTATATCTTAACTTGTATTTCACCAGCCATAACCAAAATAATTTTGAAATGGCCTAAGACAGTTGGTATGATTAATAGGAGCAAGGGAATCGTAATTCTTCCACTTGATAGGAATACAGCTAGATTAAACCACTCTTCACTCGTGGTATTTTTGTAATACCTTTCGTCAGCTACATCTTCTGCTACGTAGTTTAAGCAGACAGCAGAAGTTTCACAGGATTTTTGAGTATCAGAAGAATTACCTGGCATATCTTTTCTGAAAAATAGAAAATAAAGATAAGGTTTCAAAAGTTTAGTAAATAGTTTTAATCATCAGATTCATTTGCAATTTATGTTCAAGGAAATTCTTTGCGAACATGTGAAGCGCCTACAGGCAGTTAATTAAAGAATGCAAATATAATACGTTTTCATCTTTTCTAATATATGGTACACATGATTAAAGTAATACTTATTTCTTTGTTAAATATCTCACGCAGAATGTTGCAAACATTTTGAACTTTGTATAGAATATTTGTTTAGAAAAATGTAGTTACGAACTTAAATTTTAATATCGATCCTAGACATGCATTTCCTTTACAGAGTTTCTCAAATAAGCCAGAGAATTTTATGAAAGCTTTATGAAAGGGACATCCCTTTAAACATAAAATATCATTTTTTTATACTGCAAAAACTACAGATAAAATAACTTTATTAGTTTTTGTGTTACGGGCTCATACTTATTATGCTTTCATGAGTTAAATAAAAGGCCATCATTTCACAGAGAAACATTTAATTAATGTTTTCACAGACCGAACTATTATTAAGACCGTAATATTACGTTATCCAATACGGCAAAATTAATCTCCTAACTAAAACAGATACTTTTTATAGTGATTCCTAAATCTGGTCACAAAATATTCAAGGACGAAGTACATAATAACAAATGTTATTTTATGTAACATGGCCACATTAAGCTCCAGACTGAAAAGCAGTATTTATTTATGCATTTATTCTTAACTCTGGTCGAATTGTCATTGAAACTGTGTATTAATAGACATCGAAAAATTGATCTAAAGAAGTAAATTCGTTCTCGAATAGTTCCGAAATTTTTTAAATAAAAGTATAGAATCTTTAATATTTAAGTAAGCTTTAATGGATTTTAAGAACTAGAAGTTTTACTCCGCTGGGACTATTAAAGTTATATATTATACTTCAGATCCCTTCTATTTCTAGTGCTGCAATCGTTTTCATGAAATTCTTTATCTTATTGTTAGAAATATTATAAATAAAAAAGCTCTGTAATTAAAGAAATCTCTACAGTTACTGTTTAAAGAAATGAAGCACATAGTTTTCACGAATACCCTGTGAAGATCACCGTTAGCTATGGACAGAATCTGTTTGGTGCTTTACTATATAGTGAAATAATCACTTGATGTTTTAGGTTTATATTTTATTTACTTTAAGCCACCTTCAACTGATATTCACGAAACTTAACTAGCCTTTAATGCCGTAGATAAGTAGCTTCAACTGCCCTTTAATCTATCTGTTGTAAAGGTTTTTAATAAAATATTACCACATTTTATATTAAAAATAAATGGCAAATTTGCAGGATATTTACGTATTACCCCGTTGACCGTAAAACTGCTCGCAATCAGCGCGATTCAGCACCAGTTATGGACAAGCTGGTCGAGAGAAATGACATGTGTTGAAAGGAGGAAAGTACACCTGGTTATAACAAAATAGATTGGAACAATTCCTACGAAATCTATGTACTCATAGCATTCTAAACTGAATTTCCGGCTGTAGAGATATTAGTCATTTTTTGAAAGCGGGAGAGGTGAAAAATGAGCAAAGCCTTCGCCAGGATTCGAACCACAGACCTCTCGAAAACCCGCAGAGTGTGCTGACCACTACACCACGAAGGCATGCTAAGAAAGCGGGAGAAATACCTTACGAAGAGCGACAAAAACTTTTTTAAGAAGCGTAAAAATGAAATGGGTTGAACAAATGCAATGACTCTTTAGTGGATTGTGCAAATAGACTGACGAATATTTCATTCCAAGACAGAAATGCCGCCCAACCGGTATAATGGTTAGCGTCGCTGACTGCCGTGCCAAAGGGTCCGGGTTCAAATCCCGGAGAAGGCATGCATGCTTGTAAATATATAGTAACCGTGCGGCATGGTTAGCGTCCCTGAATGCCGTGCCGAAGGGCTCGGGTTCGCATCCCGGAGAAGGCATGCATGTTTGTAAATATATAGTATCGTGCGGCATGGGGGAACTCCAAAGAGGCGGCCAGCCGGAAGTCCTCTCGAGAGGTTAGTGGTAGGGAAAGAGGGGTGGGAGACTCTCGAAACCATCTTCCCCGGCGTGATCTTCCTCAAAATTGGAGGTGGAACTGAGTTAAATCTCCCTCTTACCTGTAAAGTGCTCAGGGCTGTTGCCAACGGCATGCGTAATCTTGCGCTCCTTGCCACGCGGTATCTCGTGGGATTGCACTGACTATGCGTCAGCGTCAGAAAAGTGAGCATCAGTCAACAACAACAGCAACAGAAATACGGCTCAGAATTCGGTAGAAACGACTGGCACAATTTTGGCGGTCCTCCGCCAACTTTCATGATTCGATGATGGTGACCAGCTTTTACTGTCGACTGGATAATAAGCTAATTCTATTTTCAGCAATGTGTACGCTTCCTTTTAAATTAGGTTTTCGAAAGCAATATAGGTGGAAAATCTGGGAAATCACCCAAAAGTTTTCGGCCATTTCCTAGAGAATGCCTAATCGGCAAGTGCTTGGCAAGTTAGAGATAAGGCAAGTTATCTGGAGGATTTAACGTCTCATGGATTGCGGTTCAGTCATGCTGCATTATAACTCCATCACGTGATTTGCAATGCATTTAAGCATTGCAAGGGTAAGGGTATAGTTCTTGTGATCCCATTAAGAGTCTTGTTACAGTGCTAATATCGGAAATTGCCTTAGTTAACTTTTCAGTGGAAGTAGTTTCAATTTATTAGTGTTTCTATTGCATTTTAGTCATTATATTAAAATAAACCTGAAAGATTCTGCATCCACTTTTATATAAAAATTCCTTTTTATATATGATATTCACTAGTGTTGAAGTGAGATTTGTAAAGTTGTTTACTTGTTTTATTTCTTTTCATTGTTAATTTCCTTTCACGTGTACTTCAGCATCTTCAAAAAATTTCTTAAGATTGTGATTATATTGCTATATTCCTTTTCTGATTACAGGTAAAATTGGGTTTTACTTCTCACAGTATAATAAATACAAATTAATCTTAGCACGATATGTGTTACAATTTTTTATCATCTTTATTGTGTTTCGAGTTCATTCCATTCGAGAAGTAATAATTTGTTACATGAAACGATGAATACCAATTTCAGATTTAATATTATTAAACTTCAGCTTTACACTCAGCTCTCGTAGAGCTGTCACCTGCATTCTAGGAAAATTTGGAACGACATTTTCTTTTCTTTCCCCGCTCCCGACGACATTTTCTTTTCTTTCCCCGCTCCCGAAAAAAAAAAAAAAATAAAGGTATTCTGCGTCAAAGACTAAAACACATTATTTAAATAGGCGAAAATAAGGAGTAGTAATTTAGAACGGTTTTGGGAAAGTTTGAGAAAAATAGGATTGAATAAAAATTCATTAAGTTGGTGAAGTTTGGAAAGTTTCAAGGAACCATAATTCATTGTTCTTTGATTCTTTATACATTCACGAGAACTGATTAACTATAATTAATGATTTTATTCCTATGTTGCATTTTATAAAGTTTTAAAATCCTTATTTTATAAACTTTCGTTTCAGTTTTGATTTTGCTCAACAGATAGCATTACGATTATTACTTCGTTTTTTATTTTTTATTTATTTTCCAAGTATTTATTTGTGTTATTAAAGCATGAAAAGTTACCTACTTGTCATAACAGCATTAAAATCTTACCATCTCCATGTGGAAAACATTGCCTTGTAATTAGCTCACAATCACAGAGTAGCAGACGTTAAAATAGAAAATAAAGGCAGATGTACTATACCTTGAAATAGTCCTGTAGTCAGTTTTCCTTGTTCAACCTGGCAATTTTTGAAGTCCTCAGTAATGAGAATGTTGACTACCTAACAAAAACAGTAATAATAGATATGCGAATTATTGCCATAATTAATTGACCAATTTTTTTTTATCTTGCACCTTACACTGAAGTGAAAAAAACGCAAACATTTAAAATTCTTTAACTTAATGGATTAGAACTTAGGTTTGAGTAAATATTACCGAACGCTTGTCGAATGTTTTTAATATATGAAATTTATTACACCTTTGTACAAGCTTAAGTTTGGAAGATTTGAAACTAACTTTTTATTATTGCTTTTTATTATTAATTTTAATGATTGCTTCATACCCATATAATCTGTTTAAACAAAATATGGACTATTAATGGGTGTAAACTAGTTTATCTTTATTTGTTTATCTTACTCCAATGAATACATACTCATTCAACGTTTTGAAGGATTTCACTGCTCTTGAGTACTAAAAATGAGTTCGTTATAGACAAGAAATTAATATTAACACATTGGCTACAGCTCTTTAAAAGTGTTCATAGGTGTTTGAACTAATTTTAAAGCAAAGTCGTCATTGACTAAAGAAAAGTAGAGAGTTATAATAGGCCTGGCAATTTGTTTACTTTTAACATGTTCCGCGGAGTTTGAATGTGTAGCAAAGTGTATGATTTCACCCTCTGGACTAAAAATTGCAAACGAGTTTGGCAAAGATGAGAAATTGCTATTAATTACTGCAGTACGAGAATGCTTGGACTTAAAGTGGAGCCATAGTTGACTGAAGCATTAATTTCCTAACATTGCGAATTATCTTGTACAATACTAATCATTGTGCCAGTTATGGCTGATATTCTTTTCTGCTTAAAACAGTATTCCGATCTACAATAAGAATTAGAATATCTTATTAAGTTGTACAATGTGTCCTATCACAAATCATTATAATTTAATGTTGTGTTAAGAATTAGAATATCTTATTAAGTTGTACAATGTGTCCTATCACAAATCATTATAATTTAATGTTGTGTTATGTATTTATATAGCTTCACGGGTTTTGTATGTTCTCTTTTGTGTCTGAAAACAAGTTTATTGAGCGTCTAATTTCTATGTTAATTCTTCTATTACTGTAGGTATCCGAGTGGAGGACTTGTATGTGCGAGAGTGTCTCGAAACATTACCTAAGAAATCATGCTCAAGGTACTTGCTGTAGGGTGGTGCTAAATGAAATTATTTAATTCTGTTTCATTATTAATTTTAAATATCAATTACAATAATAATGAGCATGTATAAAAATTTCCGAATTCACTTTATGTACGTAGCATCATCCCAACTCTTAGGTCAAAAGGCATTGCAATACCATCATTTGACGAATTTATGCCAAATATTTAGAATAATTAAAATCAGATCCTTTGTTTTATAGTACATTTTTATTAGTAAAAATTAGAAGATTTAATGCATTAAGCAAGGGAAATAGGGAATACATTGTAAATATTTACCGTAAAAATTAATTTTAATTTGTGGTATAAGTCCATAAAAGTTCAATTAATAGATACTTACAATAATATTAGGCAACAAAATTGGAATTGTTCATTAACTTACAGTTGTAAAATGCTTTTGTAGAGGATACTGGAGATATTTCAATATATTAACAAAGCAATTAAAATACGGAGAATAGCTTGATCAATATGAATGAATAAATAAGATTTGTTACCTGTATTTCTGTCAATTTTCTTTACTTTCGTTCCATATTTACTGAGAAAAATCGAAAAGTTCCATAAATATTTGTAATCAAATCAGATTATAACAGAAGTCTGATTCAAGTAAACGTCCGTCTTACGTTACTTTCAGTTTCCTTTTTTTTTTTTTTTTTTTTTTTTTTTTTTTTTTTTTTTGTTAAGACGGAAAAAAAAAGTTATACTTACTTTGAAGATATTGACATGACTGAATACGTCTGCATAATAACACCACGAATCATGCACCTTTGGGAGGAAAAACGCAGGAATAAGAACCCTTGAGACTTTATGTTTTGTAATATAAACTTGTTTTATAAAACACCAGTTACTGTATTATATAGCAATAACATATTTAATTATTGTAATATAAAATTTAACAATAATTAGTATATTATTGTTATATAATAGCTGAAACAATTTGGATACATTATTGCGAGCTGCGGGTTCATGGAAAGATATGGTTAATTCTCTTTAATATATAAGAAATATCGCAAATTGCTGGTATATTACTCGCAGAGTAAAGTCTAAAGCTCAATTCTGAATACACGACAGCATACTGTCCTATACTATAGGACCATATAATAGGACACATGACAAATCCTGCATAATGTTGATAAATTACATTTAAATCAATATTATGAAGCATTTGTCAAGTATCATGTAGTATGGGACATATGCTGTTCACGATTCCCTCAACTTACCTTTTGAACTGAATTTGGTATCTGAAAGAAATGACCAACGGCTTTCAAAGCTCTCTTTATGTACAGTTGCTCGGATTTCTGGACGCTTCTGGAGGATTTCTGGGGAAACCGCTCCTGCGGCTTATAAAATGCCTTTTCCAAAAACTTCCAGAAACTCGCAAAGTGGCAAGAAATAGAAAAGCTTCCCCAATTTGGCAACAAAAATTGAAGAGTTTTCGTTTATATTTCGATTCTAGTTGAACTATTTTACAGCTCAAAATCGCAATCACAATCTTGTATTTAGCGTACATGTATTAAAACACTCAATCGATTTCGAGGGCAGCTAAAGGTCCCTCCTCCTCAGGAGAACGAAATTACTAGAAAGGGGAAAATAGAAAAAGAAGAAAAATAAAGCATCATGCTTCGATTTCATTAATTATACGTTCATTAATTTTTATTCTATTTCTTGAAATAATAGTTACTTAAATTTTCTCAATACTTATATTTCAGTTGCTCATCTAATGCCATTTAAATTATATTTTCAGCATTTTTATTTCTCCTTTTAATCTCAAGTAATTCTCGTTTTCAATTTCATTTCTTAATGCGCTATTTTATTCTAATACTTAGTTCTTTCAATTTACAAATAATTCTGTGTTATTGCGTCAGATTTATATTCAATTATTTTCGCACTTTTTTCTGGCATCTGTTACTTTCTTTCACAAGACTGCTATATTTGTCTTCTCAACATTGGCATCTGCGTACATTTCTTTTTTCCGCTCGCGACCGTTAGTAATCAAACTCGTAACGTGCGGGAAAGTCGTACAGTCTAATACATCTCTAATCGTGATCTCGATGAAATATTGCAATAAATCGACGAATCCTTAATAATATTTCGCAAAATGAAAAGATTGTTATTAAACTAGCAAACCGATAGTAACGATAGTTCAAGTTTGAGTGATAAGGCATCGACAACTGGCGGATGAGAAAAGAAGCAAAAATTTCGTATCTACAAGTTTCGTAACTATGTGTTACTTTTATTTATTTATTTATTTATTTTTTTTATTTCAGTAGCTTCCAACTAAGCTAAAGTGACATCTTGAAATCATTCATCCTAACGTTGTCATCAAATCTCGCGTTTGTGTAGTAAGAAGTTGCAAGATTTACAAAAGCAAAGCCGTGTGTTCACAAAAAAAGTGTTAAGTCCGAAACGCACAGCTAGAGTCTGCGAAGAACGAACTGCAAAAAACCGCACTCTGTCGTAAAAAGAGCTATCGGCTGCTCTCGACATGGTTATGTGTGGCAAAAGCTACAGGAAAATTAATTTTTAAGGTACCTTTATCCAACAATAGTGTTAGTCGAAAAATTTAATGTATAGTTCAGGATCTCAATGTTCAGCTGATAGAGAAAATGAGATGAAAGGACTTCGGTCTGGAATCAGATTAGGCTACTGACAGTAATGAAGATGCAAATCTTATGCGTCATATGCGCTTCCTGAATATTAATATGAAAGTTGAAGATCTTCTTTGCTATGAGAGTATTATCGGAGGCGCAAAAGCTCGATTTGTTCGAAATGCTTGACGAGTTTATAACAGAAAATGGTTTAATTTGAAAATAATGCATCGGTGTGTGTCCGGATGGCGCTCGATCAGTTCACGATGAAGGACAGCAGATACTTATTTGCTGCAAAACACCAGCGCTGTGTGGAATACAGGGAAGCACTTGAACCGAAATTGCTTAGTCTTCAGTTTAACTTGGCATTAGAATGTGTCGTAGACGTAATAAACTACATAAAAACTAGACTGCTGAAAGCAGGTTTTAAAAAAAGCTGTACTAGGACATGAAAGTTGAATACGCAGCCTTGGTATACTATTTAAATTCACGATGCATTCGAGCGGCAACGTCCTGTTTCGCGCGTTTGAGATGCGTCAAGAAAATCACATTTTTTCTGCAAGAGGAAGGTCATACGACTTTTTGCGAACCAGTCAGTTTGATGGAACTAGCATATTAGTGCGACATATTTGAGAAACTAAATGTCTTGAATCTGTCTCTACAGGGCAATGTATGCACATTTGGAAGCTCGTGAAAAGGTTTCAGAGTTTAGGAAAAAGCCCCAGTTATGGGTAAGCTAATTAAATGAGTGTGGTGCTCAAGAATGTTTTTCTACGTAGTACCACTGCACAGCTTCTAATAAAGTCGTTGTTCTACATGCATTTCTGTCCCTTTTCATAGAACGGCTCTCAAAGCTTACTGAGTGGTTCGCAAAATACTATGCGGAAGATAATGTAGGGAAATTTATATTGGTCCATGACTCTTTCCATTATCAAGTACCCCTTTACTTCGTAAGACGAAGAGAGTTTAATTGAACTCTTTTGCAATAACATTTTGAGAACAAAATTTGCTTGCTGAAGCTTTCCAGCTTTAAGTTCTAAAGATTTCAGAATTCCCTTTGCGACATCCTATCTTTACGAAGCTTGATTTTAAGTTACCGCTGTAATAACGGCCAAAAGTCAGTGTGTAGCAAAAAATAAGATTTAAATGTACGAAATATAATAAAGAGGTAATTGGTTTACAATAGGTTTAGAATACAAAATGTGAAGCCAAAGGATGGTCTTATTACTTAATTTTGATAAATGGGAGTTATTTCTTTAACTAAACTAACTATTTCGTACATGATTTTTAATACTATTAACTATTCATAATGACATTCAGTAACATTTTCTGAATTCATGAACATGAATTTTTTCATTCTACATTACGTACATTTTCGTTGAGTAATGTGTCTCAATTCCTACGGAAAGGTAAACAGGCTAGAATTTTCATTTACGATGTTATCATTGGTTGAATGTGATACATCTCGGACAGAATATATTGTAGGCAGGAAATTTTTTGCAGACCGTTTTCTGAACTTTGATATGCAACTGAGTGCTTGAGAATGACCTTGCAGTAGCTCTTGTGACTTAGCTGACAGTAATATGAGATCAAATCTACAAATCTTATCGTATTCAAGAGAAAGGAGTTGCCGTTGGTCTAGACCTTAGCTACTTTATAGGTGACAATACGAACTGCAAAGCAGCAGTAAACATTCAGAGCATCTTTTAAGAATGGTTATTATCATTCTTCGAGCACTTACTTCTGATATTAAAGTTTTGTTATCGCAATATTCTTCTGCACAGCGAAATTCTTTTATCATATTCAATCTTCAGCAGACGTTTCATTTACTGATACTCATCTTCTTGAATGATAGAAGTTCATGTAAATTTCGCTGTCTGAAAGACATTACTGCTACAGCACTGATGTCAGCGATAAAGAAACTGATTTTCGTTGCAGTACATTCAGGTCTTTGATCCAGCCATTTTTAAATTTTTTATAATCGATTTCTGCAGTATCTCATCTTTGTTTACTGGTTCTTCAAGGTTAATTAACTTAAAGCTCTTAAGAATACTGACGTATAATGGTTGGATTTTGTTAATATGAAGTAGGAGTCAAAATTTCATTTTTTATTGTCATCATATGTGATAGTTGATGACTTAAGTTCTGAAATAAGAGTGCTTTTTTTTAACTTCATTTTAACCAAAAATATTTACGCTTATATTTCAGCACTACAATAAAGAAGCCGGATTAGAAATTTCGTGCACGTATTAGCTTCAATATTTCGGTTCTCCAGATAAATCGGAAGTTTTAAGCAATAGCTCTATTTCATCTAGGTTGACCAACAAGTAGTCGAGTGGATATGACTACTGAACACTCGCAACTTGACTCGGATTCAGGAGTCAAATGCTTGCTGTAATTACCCATCAAAGTTTCTCGTGCAACAGTATTAATACAAAAAACTATGGTCAACAAAAGATCAAGTAAATGGAAAATGGTTTCTTACTTTAAACGGGAAAAATTCAGCTTAGATGATTACGATTGAAGTAAGCCTTTATTGGAGCAATTTACTTTAGTAGCCTAAGCAATTTTTTAAAAGTGATTATCTATAAAACAAAGCTATATCTGTAATGTATCAGGCCAATATTCAGAACTTTGGATGAGACAATCGAAACTTTATTATAAAATAAGATTTGCGTTACATAATTTTTCCGAATCATATGCTAACTGACCACTAGGTGAGTGGCTAATACCGCAGAACATTGACAAATTATCATGGTTTTATTTCCGCTTCTTGAACGAATTTGTTATATATAATATTTTCGAACTCTGCTCCGTACAAATAAATATAGGTCACTTTTTCCCAGAAAGTCCTGCATGAGGTAATCTTTTCCATAGCTGATAGCCATAATGTGCAATCATAATAATTTAATCTATCTAATCAATTAAAAAAATCCAATACCTCTAAGACAGACTGATGTTCTCTCGCTTAGGTTTCCATAATCAATTAATTAACCAACTATAGACCATGCCAACTATAGACCAATTTTCTGAATGCTTTAAGTAAGTAAATTATTATATGCGACAAACTGGGCGTATTAGACGTATTTTTAGTTAAACGATGAGCCGGCAGGCCGTAATCTGAAGTTGTAAAGGCACATCTACCCATGATAATCA